GCGCCGGTGGGGTGTTGGGGGCATGGTGAGAAAGAGAGAGAAGAGACCGTGCGGCGGAGTTAAGTGTTCGCTGACCTTTACCAAGAGTCTGTCGGTGCGGTTCTCGGTAAAGGTACGAGACCTAGATCTAGGGTTTACACCTTTTCCGAGAGTCATGCTCGGTAAAGGATATAACCTAAGATCTAGTTTACCTTGTCCCTAGAGCGGCACTTGAAAATGCCACACATATCGAGAGCTGCACTCGGAAATGACACTCCTCCCTCATCTGTGCAAGCCCTAGGCATGCCACAAGGATATCACAAATGATTTCACATGCCGCTACCGGGCATAATTTCATTCGGCGCCTTGCTGATCTGCAATTTCCGGCGATGAAACCATAGCAGAGCAATAAATTTCTCGAATATTGCACGCGTCCCCAAAAAATGTGAGGCTGTGTGTGATAGCTAGCTTGTTAGGGATGATAGGCTACTCATATCAATAAGGAATTCTTTCTTTTCCGGGAGCCCATTCGGACATAACTCCAAAGTTAAGCGTGCTCAGCTTGGAGTAGTTTCCGGATGGGTGACCGACCGGGAAGTTGCTCCGGGGTGCGCACGAGTGAGCACAAAGTGCGCAGAAAAGACTAGTATTGATTTGTGGGGCCAGTCTAGATCCCGCCAGGAGTAACGACCACCGGCGGGTGTGTCCAGGGCGTTACACCGTGGCACATGCCATGCGGTTGCCCCCTCTTAGAGCACGAGAAGTTTCGAGGCCAACGGAGAAACATGACTAGCACTTCCTGTGCAAATTGGACATGTTATCTCTCGATACCCAAATACTAGCTCGGAGACAGTGCGGTTTACAAGCGGCCTCAGGGGAGGCTTACTCGAAACGCGTCCAAACTTTTACCACACCCTACAGAGGCCCTGTGATGACACCGTGCCAGATCTATGCCGACGGCCTGGCCCTCGACATAGCCATGTCCAGGAGAAACCAAGGAGCGCCATGTGGCATAGGTATGCCGACGGCCTGGTCAGCGTGTGTGATGGCGCCGTCTGGTGATAATCTCTGCTGACGGTGTATCTATGCTGACGGACGTACGGATGTCGTCGGCATATATGCCTATGCCGACGGTTTGACACAAGTACGTTGATGTTATCTATGCCGACGGCCACCGTCAGCATAGACCTAGGCCGACGGCATAGGGGGGTTAGTCCGGTAGTGGTGGGTGGAGAGAATTAAGATGAAACCAGAGAACTAACACCCGCAACATTTTTCCATCAGCAAACACATACTAGTATTTCATAAACAATGCAGAAGACATCCATGTTTTTTGTAAGAACATTTATGTTGCGAATATTATGATGAAAAGAGCATGACCATATATCCGAATAGGTTGGACTAATAGTTGTCTTGTCTAAAGTAAACGATGAAAACTTTTCATAGTAGATCTATCAAAAATGCTAGACGTACAGAAAACTTCTACAAGAATTAACGGACTAACCTTCTACCCTCACTAATCTGTTCCCCTTTGATTTTCAGAGTGGGTCCCGTTTCATCTTAACAACCAATCAATACACCCCATTTCCAGTCTAGCCCGTAAAACTCCTGTAGATGTAGCATTGCTGGTAGATCTATGGTGCCAATTAAAACGAGCTTTTGTATCTATCTTCGACACATGATAGCTTTTATCACTCGGTTTCAGAAGGGTCAAGGACATGACCAGCAAAGACCACCGTATGGGACACCTCCTCCACTATGTAGAAGGCAAAAGGATGGTCTGCTACAAAATCAACAGGCACGGACGGAGGTGTCCAACAATATAATACGGTCATGACGGCGGTGAATGCAGCCGCCTCGGTGCCTTCCTCGTTCACTTCCACAACCGCCCTGTGGAACACATCCTCTACCCGCAGCGGCACGTCGTTTCCGGCCGAGTCCTTGTCCACCATGTCAGACAGATCGGCCTCCCCGCTGAACGCCGCCCGGAGCCCCAACATCTCCAGAACTTTCTTCATGCTGCAGAAGAAGGACAACTTGAACTTGGGTAGCCGGAGCTTGGTCACGCTCCTAGACTGAGTCGGCAGGTGGTCGAACAGGAAGCTTGGCCCACCGGTCGCCATCTCGTCGGCAAGGCTACGCAGCCCGTCTCGCGCGGTCCGGAGGAAGACACACATCGAATAAGTGGCGCCGTTGTTGGCCGCCTTCTTGCAGGGGAGCTTAAGCAATGCTACACGTACAAACGATTTACTAGGTTTTACAAAAAGGATTAATTTGATTGGTCAATATGTGGGGAGGCGGTCCACCTCCCTGAAAATCAGGGGGGCAAGTTTGTGATTGGTTAGTAGATGAAAAAAATTCTAGTCAGCGTGTAATTGCGTGTAACTCTTTGTATGTTTAGCATTATTGCTTAAGCACCTTGAACCCGTCATATGTGGACACCAGGTACTTGTGGCGTCTGTTTCCGTCCATGAATGGCACCTGAACGGTGCTGCTGTCGAGGCGGTGCCGCGGTGGAACGTGTGGTCTTTTGTGCGGCTCTTGCTGAAGGCGTTCTCCCACATACCCTTGAAGTAGATGGCATTGGTGAGCACGAGCCTAGTGTCGCGGTGCACTGAGCCCCGTGGTAAGACGTTGGTGATGAGCTTCTTCGTGGCCTTAGAGACCCACCTGTTGATCTCCTTCCTCGCATCCTCCGGCTGCATGCAGGAGAGAGATGGATCAGCATTGAAACTTGAAATTGAAAGCCACAAATATACTCTATTGGATATCTCAATATATTTTTACAGATCGAGATGGCATCGCCGAAGAAGTATTGTACTGACCTTTTTCACAAAGTCGACGGCGCGTACGTCCGCCTTGTAGGACTTGACGGCGGCCTTCCGGTAGGCCGGCTTCAGCGCCAGATCTTTGTGGCACCACACGCTGCACGCGGACGTAACGACCAGCGGACCGGACGGATCGTCGGCGGCGAGGGCATGCTTCGACACTAGTCGCATGACCCCCGCGAGCTCGTCGCGCGAGGTCCCGCCGAGCATGGCTAGGATCTCGTCCATGGTGTCAGGAGGCCCAACGCGGTGTAGATGGACAGCGGCGAGAACATGATGTTCTGGCCCTCGTGCTCCTCGCCGCCTAAGAATTTTTTGGAGAGACGGAGGGCGAGCGCCGCCAGGCCGTCGGAGTCGGTAGACATCGTACGAGCCTTCTTGCTTGGACGTCTCGCCGCCTTCTCCATGGTGCCCTAGCTATAGCGCTTGCCGAGTCAAAAAGGGCTGCGCAGGGTGTTCACCTCTTTTTTTTGAAAGATCCAGCAATTGCTGGCGTTTTCATTGATCATAGCAGAAAGCAACGGAAAAACAACAATGGTGGTGAGGGTTCTAGGATCGAAGTTTTAGGGTTTAGGGAGTGCCACACACGGCCAAAAACCCTAGAAACAAGAGTGGGTTTATCTCTCAAGGGGGGTCCCCGAAGGGGCTCTCTAAGCATGCAGCTCCTGTGGTTCTCCATAGCTCGATGTTGTCTCGTATGCGTTTGATGATTCCGGGTACGCACGGCAGTTGCTACCTGAAGGTGCTGTTGTTTCTCTCCTGGCAAATCTCCAAGCAAGCAAGTCAGCACAACGTCCGCCCTCCCTTTCGCCATTGGTGCGGGCTCTTCTCCAGGATGCCTTGCACGATTGCGGTGGAGCTGTCATGGCGCCAGCTCGTGGCCGGGGTGAGAGCCGAGCAGTCGTGCCACAGTCCCAGCTAGGCCCACACTCGTCCGGTTTCTTGGCAGCTCCAAAAGAGGTGGCGCGACGACTCCAGGTTTCTGACGCAGAGCTGACAGAAGTAAGTGTTTGTCCAGCCCCGCCGCTTGAGTCTGTCATTGCACCAGAGCCGGTCCTGGAGAAGCAACCAGGTAAAAAATTTGATTTTGCCCGGCGCCCAGGCTTTCCAAACCAGACGGTCGAAGAGGGTCGCCATTCTACCCTAGAACTGCGCCAGGTAGGCCGACCTTGCTGTGTACTTTCCTGAGCTCACTTTACTCCACGTCAGGTCATCCGGCACTCCTGGCTGCAGCTGCGCGTCCGTCCCCTGGAGCAGGCGATGAAGGGCGAGGACGCCCGGCAGGAGATGGCGGTTGTTGCCGTGGGCGAGGTCGCGGATCCACGTGTCGTCGCTGAGGGCCTCCCGCACCGATCTGTTCTTGCGCCGCGAGTAGCTGAACAGCCTTGGGAACTGCTGCGAGAGGCAGCCCTGGCCGATCCATGGAGAGAGCCAGAAAGAGGCCCGAGCCCCATCGCCGATCGCCATGCTGGTGGAGGCCGCGAAGAGCGCCTTGTCCGCGCCGCTGCAAGGCAGCTCGGTGCCCACCCAAGGCCGCTCCGAGTGGTGCCATGCAATCCAGAGCCAGCGCAGCCGTAGCGCTCTGCCAAAACGCTGTAGGTCAGGGATGCCCAGGCTTCCTTGCTCCATCGGGGCGCAGACCGCTGGCCAGTTGACCTTGCAGCTGGCGCCCGAAACCTCGTCGTCCTGGCACCAGAGGAAACGTCGTCTACACCTGTCGATCTCTTTGAGAATTTTCTGTGGGACATGGAGGACGGTGAGGGCGAAGGTTGGTGAGGGAGTCCTGGATTAGGGGGTGTCCAGGTAGCCGGACTATACCTTCGGCCGGACTCCAGGACTATGAAGATACAAGATTGAAGACTTCGTCCCGTGTCCGGATGGGACTTTCCTTGGCGTGGAAGGCAATCTTGGCGATGCGGATATTCAAGATCTCCTACCATTGTAACCGACTTTGTGTAACCCTAACCCTCTCCGGTGTCTATATAAACCGGAGGGTTTTAGTCCGTAGGACAACATCATCATACAACAATCATACCATAGGCTAGCTTCTAGGGTTTAGCCTCCTTGATCTCGTGGTAGATCTACTCTTGTACTACCCATATCATCAATATTAATCAAGCAGGACGTAGGGTTTTACCTCTATCAAGAGGGCCCGAATCCTGGGTAAAACATCGTGTTCCTTGCCTCCTGTTACCATCCGGCCTAGACGCACAGTTCGGGACCCCCTACCCGAGATCCGCCGGTTTTGATACCAACATTGGTGCTTTCATTAAGAATTCCTCTGTGCCGTCGCAATCAGGAAGGATGCCTCTTCCCGTCTTTAAAGACGGCGCCGTTACTAAGGGAGCCTTGGATGTCGGCCAAACTCTCCGGCTAGGCGGTTTTCTCATGACCGCCTGTTCGGCCGTTGCGCTGACGGTGACCTCTCGGGTCATCAAAAGCAATCTCCACGTCAGCTCGGAACTCGTCGAGCAGTTAGATCCAATGGAGCTCTCTTCCGTAAACGAGCTCTTGGATCGCATCGCCGCCTTGGGGGTCACTACGGATTATGACCAGGTTGGGCTTAAACCCGATCTAAGAGAAATTAATTCTCCCCAAGTCACCCATCACGTTGCCGTGGTAGAGGCACAGTGCGCGACTCTTCATCTATCTTAAGGACTAGCTACGTCCGGATTCCCGATCCCTCCAAGCCAGATACCCGCGGAGGGGAGGATGTAACTCAAGACCTGAACTTAGAATCAGGCAACGGGCTAGATTCACTGGACAATATCCAAGAATCCAAATTTCAGAGTTCGGAAACTCCTTGGCCTCTGAGTCTTAGATTGGGTGAAGTTTTGGATTTAATTCCACCCACCCACCCAAACATAAGCGATCTATCCTAAATCAGGCAAAAGCCCGAAGAAACAGTACATCATTACTGGGCAAGGTTCCTCCTGGTTATGAACAGGATAAAGGACTGCCGCGAGGAAGATGCAATCTCAATCTTCTGCAATAATTGCACGGACAAGGGAATCCTCAACGCCACAGGTCATCGTGATCTTACACGCTTCACTGACTTGGCAACCATAGTACAAAAGTACTGTGCGATGGAAAGCGCCCGGGAAACCAAAACTAAATTTTGGGACAATCCAGCCCTGAATAGAAACCTCGTCCGAAATAAAAGGGTGCATCATCATCATACACCCGGGTTAAAAACCAAAAAACCAAAACCCTCTACAGGGCATGGAACCGTACTGGAGGGATGGCTTAATGGGCCCTGTAAAATTCATAGTACAGAGGACGCCACACCAACTCATAGCCTTAGAGCATGTTGGATACTCTGGCAGGTGGCCAAAAGGGGCGAAGATCTCCTAATTCCGGAGGCCACATAAAGCCACCTCAGGGACTCCAGTACAGTCTTAACAGTCTTCGAGACTTTCGCATTAAATAATATGCGAAAAAGAACACTCCGCAGCCTCGCCGAAGTCTATCAAGTAGCAACAATAAACCCATGGAGTGACACGACTATTACTTTTAATGCCAGTGATGAACCTAAATTCCGAACAGCTCGAGCACCAACCGCATTGGTACTCAGTCCTATAGTGGACGGCTTTCGCCTCACCAAGGTACTCATGGACGGAGGCAGCGGATTGAACCTCATTTATGAGGAAACCCTTCAAAAAATGGAAATAGACTGGAACCGCATTGAGCGAAGCAGCACAACCTTTAGAGGAATAATCCCCAGTCGGGAAGCGCGCTGTACAGGAAAAATCACACTAGATGTGGTGTTCGGCACGCCGGATAATTATAGGTCCGAAGAGGTCACATTCCAAGTGGCCCCGTTCAGTAGCGGACACCACGCTCTGCTGGGGCGGGAAGCGTTTACAATCTTCCAAGCAATACCCCATTACGGGTACATGAAGCTCAAGATGCCCAGGCCGAACGGAATCATCACTCTAACTAGTGATCCGGACATAGCACTCCGCGCCGAAAACAAGACAGCCGCATTGGCCCTTGAGGCACTGTCCGAAGCCCTAGCGGTTGAGGAACTGACTACGCTGCGCTCCATGGTAAACAGGGACGATGTGATACTCGACAAAAGATCCAAGTCCACCTCCTTTAAACCAGCGGATGAAATAGACAAATTCCAGGTCCATCCAATCGACCCCAATAAAACAGCTTCCATCGGGGCGCGATTAAACCCCGATGTGGACTCCGCACTGCGAGAATTCCTATGAGAGAACTGGGACATTTTTGCCTGGCACCCTTCAGACATGCCAGGAATCCCACGCAGGCTGGCCAAACACAGCTTAAATATCCTAAAAGGATTCAAACCTGTCAAACAAGCCCTTCGGCATTTCTCTGAGCCCAAGAGACAGGCAATGCGAGAGGAGCTAGCCAAATTATTGGAGGCCGGATTCATCAGAGACATAAAACATCCGGACTGGCTAGCAAACTTGGTGATGGTACCAAAGAAGGACAAATCCTGGCGCCTGTGTGTTGACTTCAAAGACCTTAACAAGGCTTGCCCAAAGGATCCCTTCCCCCTCCCCCGCATCGATCAAATTATCGACTCCACTGCAGGACACGATTCATTGTGCTTCCTCGACGCATACTCCGGTTACCATCAAATCAAGATGGCCGAGTCAGACCAAGCCGCAATGGCATTCATCACCCATACGGCCCATTCTGCTTCAACACAATGCCTTCCGGGCTCAAAAACGCCGGCGCAACATATCAGCGCATGATTCAGACATGTCTGGCAAACCAGATCGGCAAAACAGTAGAGGCATACGTGGATTATGTGGTCGTAAAAACAAGACATGTCGAATCTCTAGTAGACGACTTGAGGCTTACATTTGACAACCTCCGAGCATATGACATCAAGCTAAATCCAGAAAAATGCGTTTTCGGCATTCCAGCCGGAAAGCTCTTGGGCTTCATTGTATCCGGTAGAGGAATTGAAGCAAATCCGGCCAAGACCCAAGCTTTGTCACAATTGGATATCCCAAAGGACCTCAAAAAAAATACAAAAATTAACCGGATGCGTGGCGGCTCTAAGCCGCTTTATCTCCCGTTTGGGAGAAAAGGCGCTACCCCTCTATCGCCTCCTTCGGTGCACCGAACACTTCGAGTGGACGGATGCCTCCACGGCCGGACTCGAGGAAATAAAAGCCATATTGGCAACAAACCCTGTCCTGGCCGTGCCAAACATCGGCGAACCAATGCTATTGTACATTGCAGCAACC